CTATATTTTTAGATTTGGTTTATTACTTATATTATTATGGCAGCAGTACTTCTTGTTAATATGCTTATTGCTAGTATGTTTAAAAAGAAAATTTTGTTTTTCTACAATTTATTGTTTACTTTTTAGTGATGGGTAATACATATGCTACCGTTAATGAACGTAAAAAAGAATGGTTACGACAATGGGCTAAAATAATGTTAATTGTTGAACAATCTGTTTCACGAAAAGAACGTTTAGCACAACAATCGAATTATTCAAAAAAAATGCCTGATGGTTCACGAGTTTTAGTAACACGTCTTATACAAACAGTAAGATTTATTTCATTGAATTTGAATATCATTTAGTTAAAATTTTTATTTTCTAGTCTGATGAACGTAGTAGCATTGAAACTATGGGTACACTTTATTATGAACAATTATTACGACATTTAGAACCAGAAAATGTATCCATACAATCAAAAACAAAATCAATTGCTGCTAATTCAGGACATAGTATAACAGGAGTTAAAATTAAACAAGAACTATTTCGAAATCATCAATTACCGGATAGTTTTAGTTCATTTGATACTACTGCGCTTATATAATTAAAAAAATAAAATCGATTTATAAAACAGTTTTATCATTATTCTTTTCTTAATTATACTTTAAACCATTAAGTTTGAATGAATATGATTAGTACGAGAAATATCAAGAATCAACTCTGTTTCCAAGTGTTGAGTAAGTATTCTTCAACTTTCTTTTTATTCATTCGAGTAGTTCCATTAAAAAACATTCATATAGGAGATAGATGAATACAAATAAGAACAATAAAAGAGTCCAACAACAATGTATGTGGTATACTTTTAATTTGCTGTGAAACGTAAGACAGTAATTTTTGAATATTATTTTCAATCTATATTAGTTCCTTCCAGCACAATATGCTACAGAAATGTCGTCCTATAGTTTATCGATCTGAATTGAAAGCACATTAGCTGAATGTTTTAAAGTTAATAGTGATTATATATTGATAATATCAATGAGATGGCATCAATCAATCATCATATGAAAAGTACCACTAACTAAGGTGTGAGCGGAGTTAAATAAAATGAATGGTAGGCATAATGTCACCTGAAACCACACACCCGCACCCTAATATGTACGTTTTCTTAAAACTTCATTTTATTCAATTTGATGAAATAAATAGAGATTTATGATTATAAAGATAGTTTATTAGTTAAGAAGTAGAAATGAGTTATTAGTATGAAGTAGAATAATATGATATTAGTAAGTACGGATAAAAATAAAAAGTGTTTCTATTGTTCAGTTAAAATTTGATTTCAGATGACAGGCATATTTGTTGTTGTCTTCTTTCGAAATACAACTCGCCAATATTCTGTACGTCCTTGGCTCATGTCTTCATACATTTGAGTACCAGATAATCCAGCAAACAGACGAAAATATTCTTGTTCTTCAGGTTGAACATAACGTCGAATAAAATCAGTACGAGATTTATTTTGAATATCAAGTGCATGACGAACATTTCTTGTAATACTAATCCTGAGGGTGTGGGTGTGAGTAAAAGCAGAGAAAACAAATCCACACCTTCATACCCACACCATCAAGATATTCGTTGAAATAATTCATCTAATAATTTTGTTACTATTGATGAATGTGTTGGAAATGTCATTTCAATTAATGTTTTTTATTAGATTTTGATCTTTATTAGTTTTAATTATATTTAAAATAGATTGTAGAAAATTTCTTGTCTACTGAAGTGTAATAGAATTTTGTTCAAATATTTGTTGAATTAATACTGAACCATAAACAATTGTAAGTTCATCACCTTGGCATTGACTAAGTACAGATGAACTGTTAGATATTAATTGACCAATTATTTTTTGAATATAATTATTTGAATTTTTATAAAATAAATTTGATAAAGAAACTTCTCCTTCAAGTAAACAATCATAATGATGAAGGCGAGTACCAAGATAAATTAAATTTACAGATGCATCTTTTGTTATGACAACATTATGTTGACGTTTGGCTTAAATAAATATGAATTTATTGGTCAAGTTAAGCGAGCTCCAAATTTGGAGTTTGCGGGTTTCAAGTTTTTGACAAATTGTAGTCTGTAAGTATGTGCTTTTTTATTCTTGCGCATCACCAGTTGACTCAGTGCAGTCCAGAGTATCTATCAAAACAATCAAAAACAGATGATTACAATTTTCAGGTAGAGTTTTTCGTGAAAACTCAGATATCCGTAAACTTCAAATTTGGAGCATACTTAACTTGACCTCATTTAATGAAATAAATTGATCAAATAAAGAATACATAATATCAATAGAAAAATAATAAATCTTCTTTCCCCTAAAGAAGATTTATTCGTCGAAGAATTGAATAAAGTAAAGCACCATATTGTGCATACGCAAAATAATAATCATGGCAAGATTCAATTGCATCTAAAATTTCATTGGCTTGATCAACTATTCCATCTTGAGGGTGTGGCTGTGAATATCTCTTAACATATTGACGCATCCACACCCACACCCACACCTCAAATTGTTGAATATATTGAACTAAAACATTAGTATTTATATTCCAATCTAATAATGTGCGAAATATAGCATGTTTAGCAATAATTGCATCAATAGCTTGATGTAATCAATCAATTGTAATCTATTGAATGTTAGAGTTAGATATAATACGACAAACTAAAGGAATATTATAAACAGATGTTTCATTCGAAGAACGAATAGTTTGATCAACAAAAATACGTTGTTGACCATAATTGAGTTTGATAAGAAGTATGATTAAGCCATTGTTGAAAAATTTGAGTATGTTCAGCAATAGTTGGTTGACGAAATAAAGAAGCAATATTAAACGATGATGAAGATTTAGTATCAAGAGAAAATTTTATTTGATATTGTGCAAAGAGACGCATTATAGCTAATGAATTACCACCCAATGAGAAAAATGAACGATTAATAGGTATTTTTGAATTTACAACAAATTGTAACATATCACACCAAAGAACATGTACAAGTTGGTGTTCATTTGTCATTAATATTTCATCATTATTTATTGGTAAAAGTAATTATGATAGATTAGGTTTAGGAAGTGCTGCTTTATCCAATTTTCCATTAGAATTAAATGGTAATTGATCAACTACAATAAAAAAGAGATAGAACCATATATTGTGGTCGATGATTTTGACAATTAGTGTGAATTAATTTTTCATCAAATGGAACTGATGTAGATGTTTTATTTAATTGTATATATGCAATCAGATGGTCTCGTCCACGTTCAACTACTTTAATATCATCACAATTAGAAATAGATGAATTAGATTGATAAATAACTGCTTGAATTTCTTCTAATTCTACTTGTTGTCCATTTACTTTAACTTGAAAATCATTCTGACCTAATAATTAAATTTTATCAGTTGAAGGTACTAATCGAACTAAATCACTTGTTCTATAACTTTTATCAGATTCATGTGGAAGTTGAACTAATACTTTGTTATTAAAATCGAACCTTTTGTTGCTGCACTGCTGCTAGTCGTTTGCGTGAATACATCTCTTATGTTAAACGACAGATAAATATTAATAGATTAATAATGTAAAGAAATTAACTAATTAAAATCTAAAAAATTTATATAAGATAAGAATTCAAAATTTAATACATGAAAATAGGAATGAATTGATTAAACCTGACAAAAAAATAAAATATTTTCGAATCACAATAATAAATTGTAATTAGAAAAAAAACAGTAGCTGATTGGTAATAATCAGCATGGCATATAATAAATACACCAGATAAATAGAAAAGTAATATTTGAAAATAAGAGCAATTTAGAAAAATAAAATAAATAGAGAAAAATTCTTCTGAATGTTTATAAGAAAAAAGCTTTATTTTTTCTTTAATTAAATTTTACTCAACAAAGTAACAAATAAATCTAATATTCAGTTCATATTTAATTTTTAATTCATATTAATCCTTTCGCGGAAGTGGTATATATATACGTCTCACCTTTTCTCTTTCTGTTCTCCTTACTACCTCCCATGCTGATTCATTAAAAAATCGTTCGTTAAACGGTTAATGTGTCTATATGTTTTTTTGAGTTAGTATAAAAAGTATGTCTAAAATTTTTTTGAACTTATTCAAGAGGAAATAATGGGACTATGATTATGAAGTCTTTTAAATTCTACTATCTCTGTAGTAGAATACATTTTATAATCGTTATAATGAAAAATTAGATAAAGCTTAACTAAGAACTATCTTAAACAAAGAGTTTCAATTCAAAATTAGTTGATCACTTGAAAATATACCGTTCTCAATACGCTATTGTATATTATCTAAAATCGTCTCAAATAAACAATATGAGGCATAAGGGATCAGAAAAGAATTAAAATAATATCCTGCTTTTTTTCACAAGAAACTGTTCTTACCATAATAATAATTGCTTGATTCTTTGAAATATCTGATTGACTTAATACCGTTGAGTATTTATATGATAATAATCATTTCTGTGCCTTTTAGCATGTGATGATCTGAAACAAAGAAAAGTGTACTAAATAAATCAAATAAATTTAAAACAAATAACACAATATTTTCATTGATTTCAAAACATTATTTATTCTCATAATGGTTATCGTTGGTTTCTTCAGAGAAAAATGATATTAAATGAACAATGATACATTTAGTAATCATAATGGAGAAAAAAAAATTAAAAAATAATCATATTCATTTGATAACATTAAATTTTTTCATCACCATACTCGTTGCTGTACTCTTTAGTATATACTGGCGACCTTGAGCGATTAAATATCCATTAAATATATTTAACAAACCCACCTAAAACTATATTCTAATTTTTATTCTTACCATTATAACAATCGCACTACTCTACAGTAAATATCATTTCAAAATAAAAAACGATTCACACAATGCATTGCATATATTCAATTAAAACAATATTTTCGTTTATTTCCTAATAAATTTTATTTTCACCACAATAACTGTTGCCATTCTCTGTAGGATATGCTCATCTATAATAAACAAAAACAGAAATTATACTTTAATTCATTCCATA